GTGTCGGGGGTGACAGCATTGCACGTCGCCTGGATTTGAGCCGCACTAGTGTCCCATGCGCAGTTTGCCGAGTCGGCGGCAAGCTGCGTGGCCGCCGCCATGATCAGTGCCGCGAGGAGGTACATCCTGCGTAGCGAGTATCTGCTCAGCGCAGGGCAAGATGGGGAGTGCGATGGCCACTGCGATTCGAAGACAACATGAGTAGAAGGATGTTGCGTTTATTGAGAGACGAGACAGATCTCGGTCTCGTTTTATCTCGTGAGGAAAAAGGCGGCGGCGGCCAGTAGGAGGAGGAGTGCGACGGCGCCGCCAGCGACCAGGGCGTTCGTGTTGGACGACGGGTGATCTTTGAAAGCTACGTATTCCTGAATAAGCTTTGATCATGAGTGGGGAGCGTACTGTTCTTTTCGATCGCGTAGCGCGAGCGCAGCTGTCCGGCGCTGAGTTCCGAGTCGCGGACCGTGCCGCCGCGGCCGTAGCGTGTGCGAAGCTCCGAGGCGGGCAAGGCGTCGTCGGCCATGGCTAAAGCAAGTTGTAGAATGAGCAGTTGGAGAAGCGAGCAGCAACCTAAAGATAGCGGCGGTGAACCCGCCAGTGCAACGACCATCCTATTTCAGGCTGAACGCTGGCGCCTGCCTTCACGCGAGCAGAGGGTTGGGTTGCCAACGACAACCAGAGGACCACGGAATCGAGGCCTTTGGCCGGCGTTCAATCTGCTCTGCAACAATACCTTGAAGGAGGGTGCATTCTGGAGTTGTGTTGAGAGCGGTCGCGGGGGCTGGACCAGTGATGAGTCACAACACCAGCAAATGGTCTGTTGATGACCATACTACTTCAAGGTGCTCGCAACGAACGTACTTAGGCAATCTACGACATCTAAATTCCTACCTGCGGTCCCATCAATCTTGTAGCCGTGCTGTCAATACAGTGTTCCTGGACGCCTCAGTATTTCACACATTTGAGCTACTTGCAAGACGATTGAAGCCAATTCCAGTGCGTAGAGGCAGTGTATCTGGGACGGCGGGCGACGGTGGTCGACTGAAAAGTCCGCAGGTCCCGACCCAATCACCGCCCCTTCCTACTTGCGAGCGCGACGCGGCTTGGGCGGGAGCGCGCCACGGAGCTTCATGGCGCGAGCGAGCGCAGCAGGCACATGGTGGAGCGTCTTGGAATTGCGCAAAAACGTTTAGACGGCGGCCGGAACGTCCTCGAGACTTGACTGCACCTTTTGATATAGGAGATGTCCCCAAGATGGTGCTGGACCACGAGACGGTGGCAGTTGGCGTCGACACAGCGCTGACCTGGATCGCACAGTGTTTCGGATATCGCTAGCAAGGTCGTTCCGCCACCACTCAAAAAGTCGACGAAGCAGAGCTTCGGTTCCAGTTGAATGTCGTCAAATACGTAATCAATAATGTCACGAAGCAGTGGCTGGCCATGAGCGTCGCCGATCACAGCGAGGCAGCGCTGTACGATGGCTTACATCTCGTCTAAGTGCTGCGGCACGACTGTTGCGATGCGTTGCGCCAAAAGAGAGTACAGTGTGGAGTTCCCGTGCTAGAACCGAGCGTCTACTTGGTCGAGGTCCATGGCCTCGAGCCATTCCTGCAGAAGCGTTGGCACTCGTGTCGGGCCGACAAGCGCGATCACTTCGATCGCACACCACCTGGTTGCTCCCAGCATTGGAGGCAGCCACTGTACGCTGGCCGCCGATGGTTTGACGACGACAGCGTCGGAGCGAGTGCTATAATAGAACAAGCGACGCAACGCACATCGTCCTTCGACGTATGTTGCTGGAGCAGCTGTGTTCCGGCAAGCGACGCCGGACACTAGAGGTCTAATGAATCATCTTCATTGGATGCATGTGGCGTCGCAGACAACTCGTCTGCGACGAGACCGCGCAGCGCTCCACGTTGTCCTTTTAAGTGCGATGACCGACAGTTAATCGGACGAAAAATTCCCTTTAAAATGCGTTTTGTGAATTCGAACTTAATAACAGAAACTCAAGTCTGACACACTGAAATTCGTTTGCAGCTTTGCCGCTCGAAACACGTACTGTCCTTCGGATGCGCCGCCATGAGGATTGCCCGTGTGAGGTAGTTTCTCTACGCAATGAGGCCCATCATCGATCTACTGATCCTCCGCGCCACTCGTTGACGTCTTTCGACTACTCCCGCACAGCCAAACTGCGGCGGAGCTCGGGTTGGAGAGGGCACTGCCGGGTTTTTTTGTACTGGTACCGCGGGCGTGAGCCAGGCTTGGGTTGCTTGGCCCCACGAAGATGCGACCTTTGGCTGACCTCGAGGTGCAGCACCGAGCCAGAACCGAGTCTTGATTCTAGGCTTGCCGGCCACCGAGCTGCCTGCGTCCGACACATTTTCAAAGTACTAGCCTGCAAGCCACAACTACAGCTAGAACGACAGGAGCGTCATAAGCTTACTGGAGCGACCAAGCAGAGCGCAACTGCTTCCTATTCGTCGATCTTCTTATGCTCAATGGATAGTGCACGGAATCGTCCGTGTTATACGACATGAGGCTGGAAGCCTCAGTTGTGCTGGCGCAGTCTGGACGACACCGAGATACTTGTCGATAGCCTTTGACAGAGATAATGCAATACGCAACAAGAATACCAGCACGGACAAGGGTACGTGCACTCCATGTAGTAGTTCATATCGTCCACTGGCTCAATACAGTGTACTGGCGCTCAGATGCTTATTGGTATTTCTTGGGAGAACAATGCACTACCTAGCACCAATATGACCTAGCACCATGACAAGGACTCTCTTATCTTCGCCAGGCTGCAATAATGGCGGGCGGTTGGCACCGATTGCTGCCAAAAACTGCCGGAGCGAGAGAAGCTCGGCGTCCCAGTCCTTGACAAACACGATGTGCGAGTCGATCGCGAGGCAGAAATCTTCGTCCGCGATGCCTTTCTCGGTCTCGTAGCGCGCGCGTCGGGCCCGTCGCGTCGTCGGCGTAGATCGTGCTGTTGACCATCACGTTATCGATATTGCCGGACTTGTTGCGCATGCCTCGCCCAATCAGCCATCGAAGAGGAGGTGCGTTGGATGAGCCAATATGATATAACATTACTGGCTTGAGGACAGGATTGAGCTTCGACAATATTATTATAGTACTAGTAGTAGCCCTAGTCGGTTAACGCAGAATCCTTTGACAACTCTATTATACCAACTGAGCCAAAGGAGCTCACAAGGTGAGTTAATGACTACAGCGCTAGATCCAACTCCCATGAAGCTCTGTTGTATTCGGAAGGGCAAGCGCGTTTGCCGCCAAGAGACGCAACGCACCGCCGCTATCCAACACACGCTTCGTGTATTGATTTGTTCGCACACACGGCCTTTTGGCTAAGACGCGAGGGCATCTATAGGGTACCGGTATGCTACGGCAACAGCGGGCGTGGAGTTTTCCTTGGAATCCCGGCACATTGCATCCGGATCCAGGATGGCCGTGCCCAGATTCCATTGGTCGTGAACGCTGCTATCCGCAATAGCGTGCACGAATTGCCATGACCAAGTATGTACTTCTTTATGGAAATAGCCAAGCCAGGACTTTGTGTGGGAAATCTATTTATCACATCGTCCACACGGTGAAAACCACGCGCCAGCTGGTGATATTTCTAAAATTTGTATCTTGTTTTGTGTATAGAAGGTGAAGATAACGCGGCGCGGATCAGCATTCGAATAAAAAAAGTACGATAAAGTACGATTTTTTACGCACTTTATCGCGATTTTGGCGCACTAGAACGGGCCGCATCTAAAAAAGACACTTGAAAACAGCTGAAATCGTACCTAAAATTCAAGCACGCTG